AAAAAAAAAAAAAAAAAAAAAAAAACCACCCTAAAACTAAAGTCAAAGTAGAAAAAAATAAAAGCAGAAATCAATGAAAACAGAAAAACAGAGAAAAATCAGCAAAAGCACATACTCAGAAAAGCTTAAGAAACTGATCAAGAAAAAAAAAATCACAAATTACAGACATCACAAATGAAAGGGCCCTATTACAGATCCTACAGAATTTATGAAGATAAAAAGGGAATATTATGAACTTGATAAAAAAAATTTCAACAACCCAGACAATAAAAAATAAGGAAAATCTGAACAGTTCTAATTAAAGAAATTTCATTTGTATTTAAAACACTTCCTGCACGAAAACAAATACAAGAAAAACAAAAATCAACCCATAAATGGAAAAAAGCATTTGCCTGATAAAAAAAATTTTATCTAAAATATATATGAAATGTTATAAATAAAAATAAGTAAAAAAAGAGGAAGATTTAAAAAGAAACACAATTGTCTTAATATGTATGAAAGCATTATCAATAACAATTACAAGCAGTTTTAGACACTGTTACAAAAATCAAAATAATCTGGAGCTTTACAACATACAATACCAGTATAGTAAAAACAAATGGAAATGAAAACACTAACAACTGGAAAATGAATAGCCAAGTTTTTATGATTAAATATATGTTAAAGTGTTTTAAAAAGTACTGCATAAAAGTAAATTTTTTTCACTACTCAGAATTTTGCAGTTCTACATGTAAACATGTAAGACTATAAGACCTTTCAGTCAGAGATTAACATGCCAGTATTTTAAAGAGCCAACTGAAGGTGTGTGAGGAATTGTGATGTAAAAGAAAGCAAACACTAAAATATTTTTTGAAGTTTTGTAATGATTAAAAAAAATATTGTTTATGTGTGTAAAATAATCTAATAATATACTGAGAAACAAACACCATGTGAATAATTTATCAGTGCTATATTAAATTAGTTACTGAATCAAAACTTGTAGAAAAGCAGTTAAATAAAAAAACCACTTTGCAATGTCTACTGACCAGCAATAAAAGATCAAAATACAGTTCTGAATATTTCCCAAGATCTAAAAACTCCATTAAAAGAAAAAAAAACAAGAAAGCTTGTTTTTGTACCAAATTAACCTGTATGACAAAGTAGTTAAACCATAACTCATAAAAACCTCAGTAGTTCTAGACAACATTTTCTTAAAGAATGCACTTACAATAAGAAGGCTACTTTTGTATCCAACTTTAACCTAATGTGTTATTTTTTCCTATATAATCTATTGTTTTATCTCTGAACTTAGTAAGATTCTACCGGTTTAAGGATTGCCCCATAATCAATTTAGAAGAAATGGTTTGTTTCCACCTATTGCATTCTAATTGCTCAAAGTTCTTTCTACAGGAGCTGAGGGTACAGTTGAGTTACACAGTTCTCGCTTATCATGTACAAGGCCCCAGTTTCCATCCTTAGCACTGGAGGAAAACAAACAAACAACACATCCTCCAATTACAAGATAATTTGGAGAAAAAAAATCTGTACTAAATTTTACTTTATAGTTTCATGAAGCTACCCAAAAATCATAACATTTCATTATCATTCTGTACTTCAACTTTTATTTATAATTAAGAGAATTTTCTTTGACTACACAGAAAAGATCTTAAAGAGCTCATTCTTATCGCATCTTCAGAGAAGCAAATGCGGTGTCTGAAATGGGAAGTCAATAAGAGTCTTTAATTTGATTTCCACTTTTTTAAAAAACAGCATTCTTATTAATCCACAGGAAGGTAAACTGACAGCAAAATGAAGAGGGGAAACTTTCAAACAAGATGGTGAACTTTTTAGAGCTTTCAATGATAAACAGCCTGCTGCAGCACACATGCCATAGATTTGCCACTACAGCAAGGGTATATGTGTTCAAGAAATAATTGGAGGAAGATTATCATCAGCAGTTGGATTCTGCTGAGGATGATCCTAGTCCCTAAAGATTAACAAAATTGAGAAACTGTCATATAATCTTTTTCTATAAGTGAATATAACTTAATTTTTCACAGACTGTACCACTATAAATACAACAGTATGTCAAACACCTTAGGAATATGGAGTAGGTAAAGTTCAGATTTATGAAAATAAAATTTAAATAACTAGACTGACTATTTATGATGGAGAGGATAACTAGATATTTGAGGGCAACAGAGGCTTGTCAGACAAAAACATTTATATGTAACAAGGAAAATAATTCTTGCCTAGTAAATTGCATGGTTTATTTTGTGATTTGGGAAACAAAAGGAAATAGTGATTATCAAAATCAAAGGAACATGCAGAATAAAAATATTTCTAGAGTAAACAAGTCTTTTATATATTTTATGCTACAATTAAATGGTGTATGACCATCTCAAAATCCTTTATATTTTGCAGTGAAATTAGAATACTGAACTGCTTTCTGAAAAACAAATAAATTACTCTAATAATGCTGAGTTTGTATACTTGTTGGTAAAGAGGGGAACTCAACTTTGTAAGACTGGTTGAAACCCAAAATTTGAACTGATTTACTAAACAATTATATGTTGATTTATGCAAATTAGCAAGCACCCATTCAAAGCTTCAAATGAGAAAAATTAGAACCACATCACAAGAATAGTAGGTACAACCTTTATCAAATTAATGAACCTCAAAAAACCAGTAGATGAAGAAATACAAAATGATATTTACTCCTTTTAACTACTTGTAAGATTTTGGATCAAGCAAAGTCTTCCCCCACATCTACATGCCTCATGCACCATGCCTTTCAAGCCAGGACTGAATCTTAACAAGATGGGCACAAAATAAAAAACTTATTCAAATGGCAAAGTAAGAAACATTTAAGAGAATTCTGGGCTTTAGCTGAAAATCCAATCTTAAAAAAAGCCCTACAGAAACAATATGAAAACAAGGACCAGTTCCAAAAATAAAATTTTTATATTACAAAAATATTACCAACTCTTTACTATAAAAACTGTCCTAAAATACCAAATAGTTACAAGAACTATGAGAATTATTTTACTCCTATTTTTGCAATTAAAGGGCTCTTTAAAAAGCCTATTATATAGGAGGTTGGGAAATGGGAAGTGTTCAAATGGGAAGGGGAACAACAAGGGAAAAAGGAGGGAGAAAGGAAGGAAAGGTCAAGAAAAAAAGTGAAAACAGAAGGAAAAAACAAACAAAGCTTCTGTACATAGGGAGGGGAGGGCACTTGAAGGGAGAAATAGGATAAAATAAAATTTTAAAAGCCTATTAGAAAAGCAGATTGATTTTTTTTTTTTAATAAAGAAAGCGAAGATTGTACGTATGTAAAGATTTTCTGGTGTTCTGAAACAGGGTCTCAATATGTGGTTCAGGTTGGCCTTGAAATCACAAGGTAGCCCAGGCTAGCCTCACTCAGAGAGATCCTTGTGCTTCAGCCTCCAGAGTGCTGGGATTACAGGCGTGCACTACCACACTAGGCTAAAAAAGCCAAGTTAAAAATTTTATAATACCTAGGCTTTGAGATTGCTGAGCCATAGGTATTTTCATACAATACTGGCAAGACTGTATATTTACACAAATTTTCTGGAATATACCTTAGAAATTTAATGAGGAACTTACCCTTTGATCTAGTAATTCTACGTCAACAGATTTATTCTACAAGTATATACACAGAAATTAATTGTGCAGGCTAAATTTATGTTGCATCTTTTCACAGATGAGAAATATGCAATGCTGGACTCTGCTGTGGCTGACTGAGGCCCTACTGGAAGATAAGATCAGTGAAGGAAAAGCAGTGAAAAGTACATAAAACTAAGGAACTAGAAGAACCGTTTATATAAATAATGAATCTTTTTGGGGACACTTTTTTCTCTTGTACCATTCTTTCTAGAGCCTGGAACAATTAAAATTAAGCTTTCTACTCTGTTAAAAAAAAAAAAAAAAAAAAAAAAAAAAAAAAATACTTTCTTTTCTTTTAAAAAAAAAAAAAAAAAAAAAAGAACAAGACTATTTAGGTCATGAAGCAGCAGTATCCAGCCAAATTCAACAGCTGACCTCCCACTCGATTCTTTTCATAAATGAACAATCTTCAGAAACACAATTAATCAGTCCTCTCTGAACAGGTCTTTATTCCCAAAACTTACTCATGGATTTTTTTCTCACCTCAGAGGCTTCTCTCACGTGGCCCTCTGGCTGAACTCTCTTCTTTTTCCAAACTGCTACATGGTAAAGTATTTCAGACTCAAATCTCAGAATATTCTATACCTGTATTCTCTATCCAGCCCCCACTCCCTGCTTAAAATAATAATAATAATAATAATAATTCCCCTGTGGTGCTAAGGATCAAACCTAAGGCTTTCACATGCCAGGGAAGCACTATATACCTCCAGCTCAGTATCTTGATGATACATTCAAATCAAGGATCTGAAAGCTTTTATTTGATTGCTCCAACTTCTCTAAAGCTCCATGTTCTCTCCCAATTCTTGATTGTTATAACCATATTTTCTTCAATATTTAGTATCTCAAGTTTTACACTTTCCAATTTGCTGACTCTTCTCCCAAACATGCACTCCCTACAACAGTACAAAGATAACTTCAACGGCTTGATGTTATCATATATATCACAGTCTAACAAAATTCCTGTTAGCCTCAGCTCCAAAATAAATCTGTAATTCAGCCAATCCTCAGCAACAATTCTAGTTCAAGTCACTTCATATCTAACTCACTACAAATGCTTCACTCATTAGCATCTCTGCTTTCACATCATCTTCAAAACTGTCCAGCAGCCAGAATGACACTTTGAAAAGTAAGTTGGACCGTGTCCTCCAATTGTTTCTCATCTCAGGGTAACAGCAAATCTCATCATGGTTGAAGACTATGTGCTGTATCACTTGACCTTCAGTCTCTCCAGTCTGCTGGCTAAGCTCCTTGCTAGCTAGACCCCTTGATATTAGTAAGACACATCTCAGGGCCAATGCACAAAAACTTCTAAAATATCCAAAGGATTGCAACCAAATCAATTAGGTTTTATTCCCTCATTGTCACCTTCTTAGGGGCATTTTCTAATAATCGTTTAAGAAGCCATTTGGTCCTCTATCCCCTTACTTAGCTTCTCTTTGCAACATTTGTTTTACTTCATTAATCCACCTCCAAAAGTAAGCCTCAAGATAGAAGGGATGTTGCTGGTCATATTTATTCTTTATTTCCAAAAGCTGTGGCAAACTTTTTTGAATGAACTTTATTGAAAGGCTCACAAGAAGATGACTAAAGTTTTAAAAAATTCAAATAAATACACATTGACACAATCTATGGGTATGAAGTGAAATGTAGGCACATGTAAGGGTATGCTTTAGAACCAATGGAGTGAAAATTTAAACCTAAAAAACAAGTTATGAAAAATCATGAAAGAGCCTGTAAGCCATATTAAGGAGTTTTGTACTCTTTTCTCAAAAATCAGAGATTCATTAAAAGGTTTTTAACCAGGTAAAGGCATGAAGTCTTCAATGTAAACATGAATTTAAGGAACTCAAGACTGTAAATGGAGACATGAGTTGAGGAGGGTCTGAGATAACTGTGGCTTGTGCTAGAAAAAAGAAAATGAGTTTAAGAATGTGCTCAAGAGAGGCAGAAAGTAACTAGATTGAACTTTTTATTTTTCTAGAACATGACACTGTTGGAAATTTCACAGTGCAGTAAGAGAATACTGGAGAGACAAAAAAGGCATAACTGACAATTCCAAATCCCAAAGACCCATAATTTCTACCAACCCCACGTGTCCAGTAAGTGCCTGTTACTGAAACAGCCAAAAGAATGGGATTTTGAGCATTCTTTAGTTAAGTCCCACTGAATTAGGGTTTTACCTGCAGTTCTCAGTTCAATATGAGGACATTATAAATAATGTATTTCAAAATAATTGCTGACCTCTGTATCAGTCTCACAACAAGAAAAACAACTACTCAAATTCATCTTTGTATGAATTCCTATCAAACTATTGATTATTTTTAATCCAAAAATATATGCTTTTGAAAATAAGCAAAAATAAAATAGCTCACTTTTTAGTGAGGACCCTACCAATTTACCTAAAAAACAATAATAGCAAATTAGCAGTGAACCACTACTTTCTCCAATCTTGAATAAATACACTCAAATCCAGAAGTCAGCTCTCAAAGAATACTATACATTCTACATCACAACCAGTGTATTGATTTGGGTGAAATCCCAAATCACTTGACATTTCAGGAAAATCAATTATCTTCTACATTTCAACAAAGGAGATAAAGCAAGATTTATTGACTTTTATAGTTTGGACCTTTAATACCCCCAAAAGCCTAAGGTTCCTGGGGTATACTACTGGAATACGATATACCCTTTAAGAGGTGCGGACTAGTTGGAGATATTTAGGTCACTGGAGGCCTGACCTCAAAGGGGACAGTGAGACTTAACTGTACCCAAATCTACTGTCCTTTGATTTCTGCCCACACGGTCAGCTGGCTTGTTCTTGCTCTGCCATGGACTTCTACAAATGTTGCCTCCCAAATCACAGGCTGAAAAGTTAACAGGACCAACAGATCAGGGACTGAATTCTCCCAAACTATGAGCAAAACAAATCTTTTTTCTTATTATCTCAGGTACTTGTTACAGTGATAGTTGAGTAACACAGAAAATTAGTACTCAGAAGTGGAGCTACTGCTGTTAACTTTACATGACTGATACTGTGGAAAAGTCTTTAGGAAAGTTTCAGAGAGCAAACTAGAAAAAGCCTAGAATTAGAATGGTGCAAACAAGAGCTTTAACAGGCAATTATGATGAGGACTCAGAAGACCAGAATACTGATAGAAATGTGGACAGTAAAGGGGATGATGACGAAGTTTCAGATGGAAAGGGGGATTCTAGTGGAAACTAGACTACAGTCTGTCTACCTGTATTACATGGGGGGGGGTAGGGGTGGTTGTATTTTGTCCATGCCCTGAGCCCTTGTGAAAGACTGAAATTAAAGGCCACAGAACAGTGATGGTAAACCTTTTAGAGTTTTCAATGATAACAAATAGCCAACTGCAGCACATGTGCCATATGTTTGTCATCCCTGAACTACTATATCTGGTGAAAGAAATTTCAGGGTAGCAAATCATATAAGCTGCAGCATGAATATTACTGCTGTTTTTGAGCAAACATATAGTGTACCTTCCAAGCGAAATGAAGCACAGCAGAAATATTTTTAAAATTTGCATCTTGGTGATAAAAGGTAGACATGTAAACTCTCTACCATGGAGGGCCAAAAAAAAAGGCAGCTCAGTGCTTTGCATCGGGAAAGCAGGAAATATACCAAAAGGACATGTCTGGAATCTGCAAGACTATCTCACCCATCGCAAAGAAAATGTAGAAATGTATATCTGTTTCAAAGACTTCAATTTCCCTTCAGCAGAGCAGGAACTCAGAAGCCACTGCAACATGGGTAAAGTAGGCCCCCATACAGTTCCTGGATGGCACTGTCTACACATGAACCTCTGCGACTCATTTTGTAGGCATGCAGAATGAAAGAGTTCTAGGGTCATGGAGGTATGCAATAAGATTTCAAAGGAAAGCCTGGGAAGCTATGCAGTATTAGTGTGTTGCAGAATCAGAGTTCCAGCAAGCAGCCCTATTCAGGAGGTGATGTTCAGCTGTGAGAATGCAGCCAAAACTGTGATGGAGACTCCAGGAAGATATAAGTGCCAGCAATATGGAATACCTGCTAAGGGAAGGTACAAGCAATGCTAGCACAAGAGAATGGTCTTGTGAGCCGCAAACTGCAAAGCCTTATGTGAGGGAGCTAACCAAGCCCTAGGGAGCTTATATCCCACGATTGCGCCGCCCAATGTGCTGTACACAGAACATCATCATTTAATGTTCATTTTCAATCTTCCTTTTTGATCTGATCCCTTTTTCTATTCCCCTATTTCTCTCTTTTGGAATGGGAATGTATGTCACATCTGTGCCTGCCCTACCATTTTTGTACTGAAGGTATATAGCTTCTTTTTTAATTTTACAGACACTCACAGATGAATTTGCCTTACATCTTGGTTGATATTTTAGACTTAGACTTTTATTCTGTGCCTGCCCTACCATTTTTGTACTGAAGGTATATAGCTTCTTTTTTAATTTTTTTACAGACACTCACAGATGAATTTGCCTTACATCTTGGTTGATATTTTAGACTTAGACTTTTGGGCAAGGCTGAAATAGTTGACTTTGAAAACTATTAAAGATAGAATGGATGTATTCTGCATCGTGAGATAAACATGACTCTTTGGGAAATGGGCGAAATGTCACAGCCTGAATTCAAATGTCCTCCAAAGGCCCGTTTATTACAGGCTAGGTTCTAGACTGGTGCTATTGAGAGGTAGAGTATCCTTTAAGAGGTGAGGGCAAATGGGAGGTCTTTAGATCAGTGGAGATATATTTTGAAAGGAGATAGCAGAACCCCCAGCCCCTTTCCTTTCTCTACTTTGATTCCGGAACATGAGGTGAGTGATGTTTCTGTTAGGTGTTCGCCACTTAAGGCATTACTGCTTGATACCCCAAAACAGCAACCTCACCTGATCAAGGACTAGAACCTCTAAATCACAAGACAAAATATACACTTTCTTCTTTTAAGTTGATTACCTCAAGTATTAGTATAGTAACAGCAAACAATTTCCTCAAAAAATTCAATCATGGATTCACTGTTCAAATATTTGTTGTGATACTACTGTTTTGGCCACCATTTCAGGTACTAGAATTACAAACAGCCACATAAGAGATTAGATCCAATTGGGTAAACAGAAAAATAAGAGGATACTAATAGTGTACTGTGCTGTGTGCTATGATCAGTGGAACAAACAAACTATAGCTGTGGTCATAAGCTGTGGGTAGGAAAGGAAGATCAAACCAGCTGAGCCACCAGGTTATTCTCATAGGAAATTCTTATATCAAAGTAGGATAGTTTGTATTAGACTGATGAATACATTCCATCAGCCTATGATAAATATGGTATAATGATTTCTGACACCGCCAACCAAATATTGACTTCAAGATATTACTGAATCTAACTAGCAAAGAACTAAAAATAAAAACTCACAAACTAAGCATTCTGACCAAAGAGAGAAAAGAAAAAGGAACAGGGGAAGGGGAGGGGAGAAAAATAAACGTGACTTTGTGACTCAGTACCACAAAAAAACTGTACAATAGGTACAAATCATGCATTTCATAGAACTGGGCAGCTACCACATCTAGTACAATTCCAATGACAGATTTTGACTCATCCAATATTTATATCCATAAACTACACTGCTGTAATATACAGAACAAAATATTAAATTTAAAAGTGATTTACCTAGGCTATCAACACTAACAAAAGTAATTATTATAAAGCTGTCAGCCCTTAACACTTAATTTTCCAGGTAAGAATGTATTCCATTATAATTAAGATTACTTAAGAAACAGGGTGAAAATAATTTAGTCTTAAGTCTAGGACATACATACATACATTACATTCATTCATTCATTCATTTACTTTTCTGGTCCCAGGGATCAAACTCAGGACCATGCACTTGCCAGGCAGGCATAGTGCCACTGAGCTAAATCCCAGCCCAAGGACATTATAATGATTCAGAAAATCTAAAAGTTTAAATAAAGTATTTCTGACAATAGCCCCTAGATATTTAAGCAATGTAAAATATGTAGAAAGATATTAAAAAATTACAACATTCAGATAATTTTCTTCCTTTTTGTTGGACAACTCTTTTTTATGCACTAGTACATGTTGTGATATCCATCTTGGGGGCAGTTGGTATATGTATATATCACACCTAATTCTTTCTACTTACCTTTCCCATCCCCTGCCTCTATCTTTATAGATCCCCTTCTCTTTGCAAAAGGTCTATCTCACTGTTTCCTATTTATCTTTTATTTTGCTCTTTAAATTACTTGTATTTTGGGTTTCTCATAAAAGAGCAACCATGTGATATTTAAGCTTCTCTGATTTATTTCACTTAGCATTATGGCTTCTAGGTACATCCATTCTCCTACAAAAGACTCAAAATTGATCCTTCTTTATGACCATGTAGTACTCTTTGTGTGTATGTGTGTATCACATTTTCTTTGTCCATTTATCTGTTGATGGACATACAGGTCACTTTTAAAATTTAGGTGTTATGAATTGCGCTACTATAAACCATGAATATGCATGTGCTACTGTAATATGATAACTCAGGAAGATATACAGAAAGTAAATAGCTGGTTCAAAGGAAATTTCTAATTTTATATTTTGAGGAAGCTCCATACCAATTTCCATTCTGGTTACATAAATATTGCAAACTATCTCTAATCACGATGGTTTAATCTAATAAAAATATTCCACAACCTTCTCAATACACAATCCTCAACTGAAAGCACCACTGGTTGTTTGTTTTCAACTGGGGAGGGGAAGTCCCCTACAGCAGGAGTCTTCAATCTGTTCTAAGTAATTTCTTTGATCCAAGAAAATACAGATACAAAGACTTAGGGGTTTGTGAATGCTTTGAAAGTGATGCAAACTCCGTAGATTTGTCTGTTATGATGGGTAGAAAAGATATAGTTTTCAAAAGGTTTACAAAAGCCACCCCAAAAATGGGAAATCACTGCTGTTGATCTTTCCTCATAAACACATTGTTTTCACCTTGATTCTGTTTCTGTCAATGGTACTATCTTTTTTTCCTCTCATACCCGAGGCTTGAAATCACACAAATTTTCAGCCTTTTGGTTTCCACATCTAATTAGATGACAAATTGGAAAGTTCTGCAGCTCTCTTCCATTTCTATTTTCACTCAACATGGCCATTCTCCTCCCTCATAACTTTACCTATTCTGTAAACTAATTCCTTCCTTACTGCCAGTAAAAACCCTTTACTAGAACTCTATTCTTCATCTTCTCCAAAAAGATTAAATTTCACAGAAAAAAAGTCTGAACTCTTTTTAGTTACATGAAAAGCACTAATTTGGTCACAACATGTATTTCATAAGACTTCTCACATTCCTATAATCAAGAAAGCTGAATTGTGACTCTCTAAACGTACTTTATAATTGAACATTATTTTACCTTTCTCCCTTATCTTTTGAAACTTAATTCATTCCTTTCCACTATTTGAAGCAAAAGGTACAACATAACAGAATCACTTTACTTCTCTTATAAGCATTTATAATTTCCTTTTTATCTACATTGCAATACATATACATTTTCATTTAACCATTTATAAAGTTTTAAGAAACAAAGTAACTACAGAGGTGAGGCAGGAGCTTAGGTTCATAAAATAAGAGAACACATAAAACACCTCAAGGCCAATAACCCAGATATAAAAGGAAGGAGACAAGAAGACATGGGTAATCTGCCCAAATCTTAAGAGAAATGTCAGCTGTATGGTACAGTGAAAAAAATGCATGCTTCCAGAAACACGGGGTAATTTATAGGAACATCACAGCTACCCTATGAAACAGAGTAATACTGAAAGTCCTGTCTTCTAGCTATTTTTAAATACATATAAAATTGCTGTTAACTATAGTCACCCTATTGTTATAGAACACTAGAACTTACTCCAGCAACCTAACTGTAATTATGTTTCTGTTCATCAGTCTCTTTGTATATCATTTCTCCCTTCATTTTCCCTTTCCCAGCACGTTGGTAAACCTTATTTCACTTTCACTTCTATAAGGTTTTTTTTTTTTTTAAACTAAAGACTGATCCCCAAGCCTTTTGTTCTTTTTATTTTGAGACAATATCTTGTTAAGTCCCTACATTGTCTAGGTTGGACTCAAACTTTGGAACTTTCTGCCTCAGCCTCTGAGTGCTGGAATTACAGGCCTGCCCAGGCCCAGCTCACTTGTTTTTAGCTTCTGCATATGAGTAACTTTCATTTTTAAAATATCAATAATAACATGAATATTTAGTGTAACACGAGTTGCGTATTTTCGGATATACAGTGAAACTTTAGATTGTGAGTAATTTGCTCTGGGAATGCACAACACAAGCAAATGTTAAATTGATTAAATGATAAATTTTAACTTAATGAACAGTATCTTGCAATATTTGTATGTGACACCAAAAGTCACATGATTACAACTGAGCCAGTGCCCATCCCACCCTCATCCTGGGATTGTGGTCGGTTGTGTCCCAGCAGCAAGAGGTTATAGAGATCTCTCCTGCAGAGGAAGAGGAGAAAAAGGCAGTAGAATCTCTCACTTCAAAAGAGATTAGGGAGATGTGTAAATGTGGGAAATTGCAAAATTTTGTAGAAAACTATCACCCAAGAAAGGCTGTAACAGTGTGAGCAATGAATTTGTTTAACAATGAAATGCCATTTCCATGAAATCCTCAAAAGAGGTAAAAGCAAGTGTCACTGGATAGGTTCTTTTTTAAAGTTGCACAAAAACAATGATTCCATTGAGCCAAGCTCAGTGATTCTATTAGTGATAGTGAAAGTCATCCTACACAATAACCTCTTTCTCTCTTAGATCCCTTATACCAGCCAAGAAGATTTTCCAAGGTAAGTGCAGGATTTTTTTTTTTTTTTGTATTTTGTATTTTAGTATTTCGTATTATAGTACAGTATTGTATTTTATATGAATATTTGGGGTTTGGAATGAATCATCTGAGTTCCCATTATTTCTGTATGGAAAAAATTTGCTTTGATATATAAGTGCCCTCTGGATTATAAACATGTTGCCAGAACAAATTATGCTCACAAACCAAGGTTTTATTGTATTTAGTAATAGAAGTCTACTGTTAAAAAAAATCTTTTTCTGGTCATGGAACTAACAGCTTGATATGTTTACAGAAATTCTGTCTTCCAGAAAGCTTTTTCAAGAATTTATTAAGGAAAAGGAAGAAGATTACATGATTTAACATTGTACAAACAGACTTCACTTTTACACTACCCTGCCTCCTTTACATGAAATTATTTTCTCCTGAGCAATTAGTTCTATTAAATGGGTTATTTAAGATTTATAAAACAGATTATTGGGAAAATAAAGAATAGATTATCTGGAAAATAAAAAACATCAGATGTCAAACTCATTTATGTAAATGGCAACACATTTTTATTGGACACAGTACTAGCAGTACCTTGTTTTTTAATAGCAAGTTAGAATCCACAATTCCATATATTTTCATTAATATATGAAATAGTATTTTAATAACAGAAAATAACTAATTTTTCATTTCCTACTGAAAAAAGATAACTCTGGTTAATAGTTCAATTATTATTTCTAAACTTACTAAAGAGTTATATAACATTAAGGAACAGACTCCAAAGAGAATAAAAGGGAGTGGAGTGGAGGATGAGAACACAAACTATGAAGCTCAGTAATTTTTATTATCTTAAGAGATAATATTCTTTCTTTGGAAGATGATACACTAGGAGAGGAACTTACACCCAGAGGCAATTCAAATAATGTGCTTCTACTACTCAAAGCACCAAGCAGAAGCCTTAGTTGTGTAGGTTTCTGAATACTCCTTCACTGCTCCTCCAAAAATAAATACATACATTCATACATACATACTTCCACCACCCTAATGATGATGTATCTATATTCTTCCACTAAAATACAATGATTCAAAAGTTGAATATTATTTTTAGAAGGAGGTTAATTGGATTTGATCCTCCTATACCACTCTCTTCATAAAAATAGACTTCCCCAGTTAAGAATTTGTGCAATATCTGTTTGTCTAGTCTACTGCATTTAATGGGCCATAAATTATTTTTTATACTTTGTGGTTAAATAAAACCTTTAACAGAAACTTGCTTTTTATTAAAAAATACTTACAGTACTTTAAAATTAAACTAAAGAGAGATGAGGCCTATATTTAAGATTTAAAAATTATTACTTACTGCAGGTACCAGTAATTTCTTCACTTCTTCAACTGCCCTTTTCAGTTTGATCTCTGCTCTGTTCTGAGCATCTTCCACAGTGATAAGTACATGTAAATCTTCATTTAGATGCTCCCAATTGGGCTTGCCTCTATTTTGCTCCTCCTAAAATATTTACAAAGTATACTATTACAAATATTTGAAAAGAGAATATATTTTTCATAATATTCACCTGCTGTCAATTATTTAAGACTTTTTGCAGCATTTTGTTATGACATTACAAACCTTTTGGATACGCCAAAAACAAGGTCTGAGTGCTGACTACTGGGTCAAATGGTAGTACATACTCAACAAATATGTATTGAATTGGCTATGTACCAGGCACGCAGGCAAATGCTAAGTATGTAACAGTAAGACAATCACAATCTCTGTAGTGTTTCTATGTACTGTATTAAGAATCTACCTATGGTACCATCCTTAAATTATGAAAAGCTCTCTGACAGCTGTGTTTTTTTTATGCGTGAGAAGATAGTCATCAAAATTAAACAAGTCACTTATCAACATCACAGCAAATAAGCTGTCAATTTAGAAGTTGAATCAAAGTTTTCATTTTCAAATTCAGTTATAGTTCCACTTCATTACAGTGGTTTTTAATAACACTAGTTGTAGTTAACATTAGGAAGTGTCCTGCAAACAGACATTACTATGTAAAGGTAGTGCTATTTGTTTTACATAAATTATGAATTAGGAAACATTTTACCATAATCACAAAAAAATAAATGTAAGATTAGTTCTAACTATAATTCCATGAGATGATACCTTAAAACGAACTGTAAGATCACATTTTCCTTATATCAAGTCATGAATACTTATTATATAGAGATAACTATAATTCCATTTCCTTGATGGCTTGTAATCATCTAATAAGGAATATCCTCATCCTGAAAACCTTGTTAAACTATGAGGTGGCCACAATGTTCTTTCACCTAAGTCATAAAAATTACAGCTTTGTTTGTTAATTTTTTGAAGATAGGTTCTTGCTATCCCAGATTGACCTTGAATTATAACCTAGGCTGGCCGTGAACTCACAACAATGCTCTGGCCTCAGCCTCTCAAGTGTTGGGATCACAGGCATGAATAATTTCAGAGCTGACTCTTCCTTTAGGTTTTAGAGATAACATATATATATATATATATATATATATAAATGTATACTTATTTATAATGCAAATATAAAAATATTTATAAATAAAGATGCAAGTGGCTCAGCACCAAGTACCACAGAAAAACAATAAATAGTATCCGTTGCTGTTGGACATTTGTTTTAAAGGTCACTATTTTACTAAATTGTGAAATTACAGTAAAAAAATAAAACTGGTGTAATAAAATAGCTTTCTGTTACAGCTGGTATGACTGAGCTTAGCCAATGAACACACAAGTCCTAATACTATATGTTCTTACTTTATTTTTCAGTTCTCATTAATGGGAAAATACATCTACATATGGGAGGAATTAGACCACCCTTGAGGGTTTTAGGTTTTTTTTTTTTTTTTAAATTCTGTTTTGTTTCATTTTGGTACCAGGTATTGAACTCTGGTCCTTGTGCTTGCAAGGCAGGCAGCAGAACCATGGAGCTAAGTCCAGGGCCCTCAACCTTGAGATTTGAGAGTGAATTCAGATAGTATAGCAGGCTCACAAGGTCCCAGGTAGCATTTAAAAATTTAAGGAAAACAGTATCAATCAGTGCTTAGCCAACTCCAAGTATGTACATTTCAATAATAGGTCATAGTATAATTCTTTTGATAATGACACATCTTCACAGAGCTAGATTTTTGATGGTTGCAAAAAACAGCCTACACAAAAATCAATGTGGAAGCTGGGTGTGGTAGCTCACATCTGTAGTCCTAGCACTTAGGAGGCTGAGGCAGAAGGATTGCTGTGAGGTTCCAGGGTAGCCTGAACTACACAGCAGGACTGCATCAAATAACAACAACAACAACAAAAATCAAACATGTAACAAGAAAAGAGGCAATGTCCACCTGATTTCAAAGTTTAAAAACATGAACAGAATCCAAGAAAATACAGATGCTATTAATAATATGGTTGTCTTAATTTTTTCTCAATTTAAGGGGTTTTATTACAAATATTAATTAAATTGCTTGGGAAGTAAATATTTAAAAACTAGAACTAGGAGAAACTTGAGGCACAATGAAAAACTAAATGAGAAACAAGAATCAGTCAACCAAAAACCTGGGAATGCTGAGATTGTCTACATGGCAAACAATATAAAATGTACACAAATACCTTACAGCCCCCCCCAATTAATGTTTAAATCCAGACTTTAATTGTTATGTTGAAGAATGCTGGTATTTCCCCAACTAAAGTCTGTATTTGTATTCATATCCCCCGCCTTGGAAGGTCCATGAAAGTTACTTGTATTATCTGGTGGGACTTAACAGCATCCCTATTTGTCTAAATTCAGTCAAGATCAAGGAACAGGAACCAGAGTCACTATCCCACCTGTAAGAGCTAAAACATGAAACAGCACTGTCAATCCAATGGAAGTCAGGCAACTTAGGGCAATGCTGGCAGACACCAGAAAAAAATGTGAGTCTGTGGCTGTAAGCTCAGCTTAATTATTTAAAAATTTGGGTCCCACTGTCTCCTGGAATGGAGACCAAGTTAAGAGTCCATGGAAACTGAAGCAGCTGGGGTTCACTGTTGTAAGTCCTGGCCAAAAGGTTGAAGAACTGCAGAAGACCCACCCAACTTCTTCACTGCACAACGATCAGTACATGCTTAGCAGGAAACTGCAGAGTCCAGGAAAAAATTGCCCCCCAGGAATTAAGGTCACTAAGTGGCTGGTTCTCACATGGAGCCAGACTGAAAATTTTGGATTCATAAGCAGTACACTGAAGCTTCTTGCTTCAGTAGGGCTAAACAGTTAAACTTAGTCTGAGTATTATTCCAAAATTTCCTAAATAAATGTTAAAAGCAAGACCTAAAGGAACCAAACTATTTTCAAATGACATCACTGTATTACAGAACAAGGCTGAAGGATTCTTATAGTAATATAAAAATATGCACCCAATCAGATAAAATTCACACTATCTGGTTTCCAATCAAATTAACAGGCATGCAAAGAAACAGGAAAATTAATACAAAATGAAAATTTCAAGAAAGCCAACCTAGAACTGACACAGATGTTATAATTAGTAATTAATATTAAAAGTGTGCATGTGTGACTGTGATTCTGTGTGTGTGTGTGTGTGTGTGTGTAGGGGAGATACATGGTACAGATATTAACATAAGAATAATAAACATTTATAATCAAAATATTTCAGAAAAGCTTGAAAACTAAAATTGTCTTGTCACAGAATCTTATGTACATGGGGAAGAGAATAGCCAAATGACTTAGAAATGAGAGTATTAGCTGCATGGTAGAACACAGAACAAATCCAGCATAAAACTGCCAGCTCTAGTGAAGAAATAAATTTGAGCTGTAAAATACTTTGGCCAATGCCAGGCATGGGGGCATATGCCTATGATCCCAGCACTGCGGAGGAGGCTGAGGCAAGAGGAATGTCAACTCATTAGAGGCCAGCCTGAACTACACAGCAAGATACTCTGTATCAAAAATCAAAACAAAAAAACAAAACAAAACAAAAATCCCACAAACAAAATTAAAATTAAATTAAATACCCCGGGGCCAGTGCGTGCTCTCAATTCATCAAATTAAAAGCAATGCAAAATAAAGTTACACCTATTGTCATGTTTCAAAATAAACATTTTTACTTAGTTTTTAAAAAAAAACAAATGCTTACCAAGATGGTGAAATTGATGAGATCATGTACTTTCATTCTCTTTTGTAATTTTAAAAGCAGTTATTTTTCAACATAATAGAGAAAAATGACAGTAAAGACTAAAGACAAAAATAATTATATGTATAAATAATAAATTCAAATCTTTAAGGTAGGCCAAATGATGACAGGATTCAAGAAAATAGAAAATAGCTTTATTTATATAGTATTTTAATAGCAAGCATATTAAAAAATTTTATAATTCCATGCACACGTGATCAAATAGCAGGCAGCCACAATTAGTTACAATAGCTTATTATGGTCTACATTCTTGATAAACATTATAAAGAAATAAAACTTCAAATAACTCTTACTCTCTAGGTGATAAATTTAAAAATGAAGATGATAGTCTTAACGGCAACTAAGCTTATATTAAACACTACTGCTTGTCAACTGTGATGCTAAGCAATGTAAATACATAAGCTCATTCAATCCTAAATAAACTGTATGACTCTGGGACTACTACTCTTATCATGTTATCAAGTAGGCTGAGGCAGACATGGCTTTTCCAAGTCATACAAATGCAGGCAAAGCAACTTTACAGCTGCAGTCCTAGCCAAAGAAATCACCTACATGAGAATCCTAAAATTAGGCAAATTGCACTAGAATGGTATCATAAATTAGTGAAAAACCAGAAAAAACAAAACACAATCTTTCAAATTTTATTTTACTATTTTAATTTTTAAGTGTGGAATTCCAAGTGTTCTCTTGACAGATATTTAAGGGACTTTTATACAGAGAAAAAAAAAAAAAGATTTCTTTTCCCCTCCATATAGGCAGATCTCCCAATTGTAAGACAAGCTCTTTCCCCATGAAATAACTCCTGAGCAAGTCACAGATTTCCTGCTCCTATAAAAATGCTTTTTCACTAAATAAGAGAATAATCTATCAAACTTCAAGGATACAAATACAGAATATGAAAAGAATAAAACCTGTAGTCATTTAACAACACATATTTTCCTCAGTTTCTAAATGAGGTAATTAAAACTGAAGTGTGAGTTAATATTGACATATTGGAGATATGCATGTGTATTATGTCAGAGCTCAGTAACACTGCTGTACAAAAATAATCATTAGTTTTCAATAAAAGATCATCCACTTCATTTCAGAAGTTGCTGTACACAGTGACATAAAAATACAAAATAAAAACAAATTCTCAACAGGTAAGAAACTACATTTGTTTTGGATTACATTTTAATAAAAAAAAAACTTGAGTAACTGCCTATGAAGTTTAAAATTATATGCTAATTACAGTATGTTTTAACAACAAAATAATTTTGTAACATGAAGCATCAGAGCATACTG